ATCTGTCAAAATGTTTCTCTCATCCTTCGAGCTAAACTCTATACCGGATTGTTGGTTCGTTGAGTAGAAGCTCATCTTCTCGCTTATGTTGGTGGAAAGAACCTGTTAAGATTAAATGGCAGCGTGTAGAACTCCTCGTTCCTGTTATCTCCTCGGAATGTTCTGAACTTCACCCACCACGGCATTCCTCTGTCTTTCTTCGACTTCTCTACCTCCAATGTGTTGTCCAGCAACACAGCCACGATCAATCCAACTGTTGCTGGGGATGAGAATATCGTATTCAAGAATGCATTGAACTGGAAAACCATACAAAGGTTGACATTTTAGGGGGAACGAATAAAAAATAATGACTACAATCTTCAAGTACCATCATCTACAAGTACTAGAAGTGGTGTTTGCAATTAATACTGTTTTCCAATGTTTGCTCAATCCGTCTACTAACACAAAGATACATTCTTGCAAGAAATACTGGAATTTTGAAGTTAAAAATTACCCATCCTGCATTAGTATGGACAAGACCTCGTTGTTCAGCATTCCAATACTCGTTGAAGAATTGTGGGACGGATATCCCAAGAAAAAGCGAAAGGCCAGTAATGATGAGGTTTCGCATAGAGTTCATATTTGTGAATTGAAGGAATGATAATCCAACTGAAGCTGCCAAACAAGCGAAGGAAGAGTCATGTAGGGAAATGGACAAATACAGAATAAACAAAAAACATACATACCCACAAGTCCAAACAGAACACAGTATAATGCAGCAAATATGGGGAGCGGTATAGATGCAAATACAGCTCCAAATTTTCCTGCAGATGAATAAAATTTGAATTTGTTATGAGTACTGATCAATACGACAGCCAGGACCATATTGAGATCTAAATTTCAAGATAATAACAAACCTAAGGTAGAGAAGAATATCATGAAGGCAGCAGATATTTGAACAACTCTTCGACTTCCAACCCGTGTGAGTCCGAGAAGTCCTACATTTTCCCTGAAATATGTACAGTCAGTCAGTCTACGGTAAGTCACTTGTTCGGAAAAGAACAGAATAACTTCAAGAGCAAGCTTCACTGAGAAATGTGACTTACACAGAAACAGTAGAACCAGTGCCAGTTCCGAAAAGACCATCAAGCAAGATGCCAATACCCTGAAAATTTGATTAACAAAGTTTCATTCCCCTCTCCCCCATGCATAGAATTAAAGAAAAACAAAGTCGATATAATTAACTTGGCATGTGGAACGTTATCATAGAAAAGTACATTTTTCTGGAAGAGGTAAATACGTAATCTCATTTTAGATGCGTGAGATTGTTTACGACTGAGCTTAACGGATAAATAAATACACAAAAAGAAAAGAACGATGATGTCTAACTCACCTGCCACCCAATACCTCGACTCAAGACATAAGCGGGAGGTGGAGTGGCAATTGCCAATCGAGAGGCTGCTTTATATGCTCCAGTCGACTGCAGCATGAATTTAAAGTTTATTACAAAAACTCAAAAGTTTTATTTTTCAATAACTTACAAGCATGATCTCGCATAAAACAACTTTAAAATGGCTGCAACGCCAAAGAACATTGTTGTTTGCTGATCATGATCCACTCATATGTGATCTTGTACACCTTCAGGATAACAATTTTAGCAACTGATGGGAATTGAAGATACATACCTCAACCATTGATACAAGGACAGCAGACATCATAGCAAATGAATGACCGGCTGAAAAGGTAGGTGGGCCCCATTGCAGAGGATACGGGAACTTAAACCTGAATAATAGGCAAACATGAACTCCTGAAATTATAAAAATAATGCAATCAAGATAAGATATAAGAAGCTAAATTCTGATATACATACCATGGAGCAGTGGATATAAGATTTGCTTTGTCAGTTCGACAACTGACTTGAGTTGCATTTGGCTTATCCCGGTAAGCTCCGCTGGCAGTTAATATAACGGAATAAATCCAAACAATTGCCACACAGAACAATACTGGAAATCTTTCGAAGATTGGGAGATCTCTAAATGGTCTCACATGCTTCAGATACTGCAATGCACAAAACACAGAGAATGTGGAAGTCAGAAATGATAATTTGATAGTAGACTCTTTTTAGCGAAAATTATAAGAAATCTTACTTGTGAGAGTCCGATGATCAACAACAGCATTGGTAGCCCGATTTCAACACAGTTTCCCAACTGAACGATTTCAACACATCTTTGTAAATGTTAAAAAGATGAGCAGGAAAGACGAAGAAACCAAGCAAGCATCAACAAATCCCAAGAGATAATTCAAATGTGTATCCCATGACTCATGAAATTCATTTAGTAGCAAAACATACCATTGGAAATCCTCGCTGAAACAATCCGAGGCCAACCAATCCGACCACTGGTGCCATACCGAGAGGACTGAAAAACCTGGATTCAAATCCCAAACTGTTAAAAACAAATTGCAAACAGATAATTTAATCATTTCATCACATATTTGAATCTCGAATGCTATTAATGTACCTTGAAAAGAGACCCCAAAGTTGGCTGTAACCTAGGATGATTTGTATGCTCGAGGCTACAATTAGCGCTCCTTGGATAGCCCGCATTGTTTGTATAAATCTCTGCAAACCAATGACATGGCAAGATCTCTTTCAATTACCCTACCAAATAACAAAGTAATTAAATGCAATGCAGAACATATTAAAAACATGATCTTTATTTATTGTCGATGCCAGAGGGAGCAAAGAAGGGAGAACTGGAGAACTTACTTCATGATGATCGCTTATCCGTTGCAATGAAGAATCACTGATTATATAAGCTATAGGAACAATATAAGCAAAGGAGCCTCCAACTACTGCTGGCAGTCTGGTTCCAAATAGTGCTTGGAGAAGTGTATTAAGGCCAGCTACAAACAGTAGAGTCTGTATTACACGTGCTTTATCGCCCTAGCAGATTGATGGAGAAGAAAACGAAAAACTAGAAGAGATCAGAGACAATGTTTTCATAGTTATCGATTAAACCATGTCTAGACTACAAACTACTAAAACTAATAGAAAACTTTACTGATAAAAGATAATGCAAGTTAAATAGAAAGGAGAAGTAATAGAAAACCAGCTTACATCACTTCCACCCATTGCTGGAACTAGTAGAGATGGGATCATTACACTTGTTCCAAGCATCAGGATGTAGTTTTGAAATGCGAGAATTACAGTTTCAGCTGCAAGATGAAGCTTTGACTGGACATAAGTATGAGAAACTAACAAATTTAACTCAATGATAAGGTAGAAAATTTACAGGCCTTCAACTTAATGTCATGGACAAGACTAGGCAACTAGGCAAATCACAGCCATAGCCATTAGACTAGGCAACTATACAGTACTGGGAGATCTCCAAAAAATTTTCTCTTGTATTCCATTTTTTCAACTCACAAATTCCTAGTTGAGGTCCTGATTACCATGTTATCTTCATTATTTCCCTTTCAGCATTTCACCAAAGCACGAAAATCCATTTACATCTGATATCTTGACTAAATCCAGTTTCTTAATAGAAGAAACTTTGAAGCCAGCATTTCTTTAGTGAGTAAAATTTTGACTAATAAATAACATGAGATAGATAATTAATTAAGCAGAACATATATAAGCTCTGGGGTCAAAGAGGAAAAAGAGCTTTCCTTTCTAAAAGAAAACTCCATTGTTAGCACATATCAGACATGGTTATTCAAATGTGGATGATTGAAGTACATTTCCCAGGAGACCAGAGAGCAGAAAATTGCCAATTAAAATCTGATAAACCACGAGAAAGCAGAAGAAAATAAAAAGGAAAAGCCTTTGGATGTGAAAATTGATTCAGGATATCCAACCCATTATGCAAGGTTTTGAATCGTTTTGGATTTCCAAAAAAAATAAAACATAACCAGAAACCAGACAACTTCATAAATGAGGAAGAACAAACGTTCAAAACTCAGTCACACAATTAATATTCTTTAAGCAAGTCTGCTTTTTGACCAAAACCGACAATCCTCCTTACAAAACGTCTATAAAAAAATATCTTTTTATTTTCTCAAACTGAAAATTTTTATAATGTTAAAAAGCTTCAACTTGTATTCGCAGAGAAATGACAAACATTCTCAATACCCATAAAGACATCCACTTTCAACAACATCTTAATATCCATGAAACTCTGCAGCAGCAACACGAAGACCCATAATGACATAGTTTGAAAAGAAGAAGGAGAGGAAAATACGCACAGACATACACAAATATATACATACCCCAAGGAGGGTTAGAGTCTATGCAATATTCAAGGTCTTGAAGCTGTTCCATTGGGAGGTGGGTAATGTCCGCCATTGTTGAAGAAGCTTTCCCGGGTAAATCACAGTCTCGACAGAGATGAAAGAAGAAGAAGAAGAAGAAGGAGAAGAAGGAGAGAAGCTAGAGAACAAAGTAAAGTACAGATATAAAGCGAAAAAAAGTTCTAAAAAATAAAAATTTAAAAACAAAAAAAGAGAAATATGCAAAGCTAAGGCAACTACAAGCCGTTCTACGACGAGTCCACAACCATCCTCCCTTTCTCTCTCTCGTATATAAATCTTTTTTTTTTTTTTTTAATTTTTGAATTGGCATCTTTGTTTACCTATTTACCCCTCATTCTCCACTTATTTACAAGATAGCCATTGGGTCCACAATCCCATATGAGGAGGTTACCATTGTCGTTTGCATGTTTGGCGCAGGGGTAGATTCTAGGTGAAAGGACGCTTATACCCCTGTTTTTTATCAGCCGAAATTTTTTTTAATCCATTAAAATAACTTAATCGTTAAATGAAAAATATAATATAAATGATTTTGGGTAATATTATTTATTATCTTTCTGAGTGACCCATCAAATTTTATACATTAAAGATAATAAATAATACTTATTTTTTTTTTCTCTAATTCGATTTCGGATTAAGAAATAGAAATCTACAATTTTGAAATTTGATTTGAAATTAATTATTTAGTGAGGGAGTACCGAATTGGGAATTTGGGGATTAAAGCAGATAATTTTTTGAAATTTATTTACAAAAAATGGTGTATTGGGTAGGTGTGCTAATGAAGATGCTAATAAATGTTGCATCAGGATTGTATTGAATGGTGCCGCAGGGTTATTTGTTGCATGATAATTATAATGTACTCTATACATATATATACACGTTATTTATATATATATATATATTTAAGCACTTGTTTGGCTGGTGGGATTTTGATTTTTGGGTAAAAGCGAAAAGAATATGTGCTTTTGGGCGACGAGCTAAAAAAAAAAAAAAAGAAAGAAAGGAAGTATGTGGGCCTGTGTCTTTTTTTGGTTTTTTTCTTTTTTTCAAAATGGAGGGCAAAATGGTAATTTCGTTGTAAAAGAAAACCAGAATGACAATGTAAAGTCAAGTATTTGGCGGGGAGGCTTGCACGTGCAGGGGCTTTCGGTTCGCAGCTAAATTCTGAAGATTACGAGCATGTCATCCTCCAAAAAATCCGATTCCCATGATATGATGTATACGTATATCTGGGGTGTATGTATATGTATATGTATATGTATAGAGAGAAATAAAAACAAAAGAAAACCCACAAAGGAACCAATAGGTTGAAATGCAACGAAACTGCAGGGGATTTTAAATGGGAAGATAAGAATCTCTTTTTTTTTTTTTTATATATCTTTTTCTTCTTAAATTGAAAACACAAAGAAAGTTGTAAGGGGAAGGCTACTTAGTGAATAAGCTCTTCTTCAGAAGCTTCAGAATTACACCTTTTTTTTTTTTTTTTTTTGAAAAATCTTTTTGATTACTGTTGTGATTTTAGATCGATCTACCATTAATTATTTGTTGGGCAATTAGTAAAATATTGGTTCATGAATTTGAATTTTGATGGTTAAGAAAGTTTTGGGATAAGATTTTATTTTTAAAATGGTAAAAGCTAACGTCCGGACAATTTTAAGTAAAATTGAAATAATATATTTTAAATCTTATTAAAATTTGTAAAATTAAAAAAAAAAAAAAAAAAAAAAAACTACAATTTGAAATTTATTTATTGAGACATAAATCTAAAAGAAACTAAGACTTGGTGAGCCATCAAAATGCAAAATTTGTCATGCACTATTTGAGTTAATAGAATGGATAAATAAACATATTTGATTATTAATTTTGAAGTAATTCTTGATTAGTAAGTTTGAGAACACCCAATTCGTAAGTTAATGAAAAGAAAAAAGATTGATTTCAATATTTGAATAATAAAATATTTGCAAGTTGGAATAACTTGAGCAGCACCATATCCAGACAATCGCTTTTCAATGCACTCCCAGCCTGCCCGCTCAAACAACTTTCCTACAAAAATTCCCTTCTTTCTTAATTCTTCTCTCTAAAATTATTTTAATTGACTGCTTCTTCCTATAAATAATTTTATTTCTATTTTTAAAAAATTATATTAAGTATTAATCAATTTAATCACAAATAACCTTAATAATATACTAACGAGTTAATCACACATGCCCTGCGTCTAATTCTAAACACAGAGTACACTTTTGTGAATTAATACTAATTTCGCTAAAAAGTGTAGGGGTGGTGGAGCAAAATTTCTGAGTGTTTTAGCATATTTATGAGGAATAATAATGTACTATTATTAATAGAAGCAGGAGTACCAAAATAAGTGTAATGTGTATATTTTTTTTAATAATCACACTTCCATTTATAGTAGCAAAAAATAAATGTATGGGTTAATGAAAGGAGATACAAAACTCGGTATACAAAGCAAAAAAAATGTGTTCGGGTTTGTTTCTTGTATACCGAGTTGTCACCTCCTCTTCCATTGATGAATAAAGAAGGACATTGCTCTCTGTTCTCTTTCAGCAAATATTTAACTCCTCAGATTCTCAGTTGTCTCCTCACAGAGACTATTCTGACAATCTCCATTATTCTGCTTATCATCCAATATCAAAATTAGACATCATTGATTTATACGTCACACACACAATTGATACGTACGTCGTACACATAATTGATGCCTACGTGATGTATACATACGTACACATCACAAAAAGTTGAATAAATTTTCTTGGTTATAAAAAATTCCTGACTTGGTTAATTAACACCGTCTTAAAAAGCTCATAAAACTGATGGTCAATGATCCATCCGGCTTAAAGATTATATTAACCAAATAAATATTCTTACCTCTCTCTCTTAATGAAATATTTTTTTATAAGATCAAATAGTAATAGATGTTTGAGTATAACTTAACTCTAAATACGGTCAATATTATCGACATCACCTTTGAATGTGTCCTGCCGAGCAATTACCAGTAAATTAAGAAATTAACTCCAATATTCATTTGATCAAAATCTTATTCTAACTCAGAATACCAACGATGCAGCAAAAAGTTACTCTCTTTTTGAGAGCTCCTGTGAGTGTGAGAAAACATTAAGCATCATCCATCTAAATACAATTCGATTGAAGGTGAAACGCAAAAACGGAATCACAAGAACTTTGATTAAATATTTCTTAGAACTCAACATAAATTCCCTGCAGTTGCTCACAAAATTAATAATGCAAGATAGAAAACTACGAATTGAAAAGTGGGAAAAAGAAAAAAAAATACCATGTTTTTGGCGTTAGCAGTCTTTGAGTGCTGAAATTAGATGATACCATCTTTCCAAGAAACAAAATCAAGCAGAAGCAAATTACAACTTCTTATGATCAAGAACGTTGATTAGAACTGGTGGGCCAAGTTGGGTGCTAGACAGAAGAAAAAGGTAATTCCCGTTCCATCTCTTTATCGGGTCCAAAGTACATCGTACAACACACAGAAATTAAGATAAGTAAACATCCGATAAGCCGGCCAAATGTTGGAACTGTCCTTGATATAAAAATGCTCCATAACTGTGACAAGGCAGCCTATCAAGAAAACAAAAGAATTAAGGTAAAAATCCTATTACAACCCTCTGAAACCAGTAGAAGGATGAAATTTCAGAATGCCCATTTCGAAATAAAAAACATAAGTTAAAATACAAAACTATCTATTAGATTATAAATACAAGTGATGTTTGCAAAACGCCCAAGTGAGATTTAAAAGATAAAGAAAGTTAAAGAGAGAAATGCTCGCCAAGATTTCCCTCTCAAGTAACAGCCTGCAGAGTGATTCCAATTAGGGTAATTATAACTTGATACCATGCAAAATGAGGGCTTTCAAAAAGTATGTGTTAATTTTTAGTAGTTCCAAAAATTTTTATTTAACCATTAGTCAATACATAAAACTGTTAGTTTATGAACATATATGCAGTTTAAATTTTGAAAAATCTAATTTAGAGTTTTTATGACTAAAAAAATAACTGAAATAATTTTTTTAAAGAAATTTAACCTGGGATTAGACTAAATAAAACTTAAAATACAAAAACAAAAAATTAAAGAACAAAATACACAAAATTCAGACTGGAAAAGCTTTATAGAAATATTTCTGTATCAAAAATTAATAAATGTTAGTTTCTATTGTCTTTATTTTTTAATAGTCTAGTACAAATTTCTACAAATCAAATTTTGTAAAATACAAATTATCCACATATTCAAACTAACAGTATTATATCATATGACTAAAGGTCTAAATCAATCAAACTGTACTTCACCCTTCAACTTAGTATAGATTGGTCCATATCTCTTCCAGTTTCCAGAGTACATATTTACATATGGATGTGATGGCGTCCAATAATACGGATAACATAGCCATTTCATTTGACACAAGCGTGACTTTGTTTTTTTCCCCAAAAAAAAAAAAAAGAACCTCCTAAAATTCTTGTGCACTGCCATTATGCAATGCCTCTTAATTATTTTAATCACAAAGCTACCAAATATTTGCAAAAAAAGTTAAAAATTTGCAGGGAGAGTAAGTTGTAATTACACTTTCATCCATCATACACGGCAGATATGCCATCTAATTCATAACTAATTACCGTATAAATTGTTACCTTCCTACGTAAAGCATATCACAATAAAACTCTCATCATGATATTTCATGAGGAAATAGTTAGTGAGTATTGGTGACCACATTGCTGAAACAAAAAAAACATAAAGAAAGAATCCAACTTTACACCGACTGGTACAAGAATGGTTTTTTATATGTGCTTTTCAATTACTTTATTTATTTAACAAGAAATGAAGAATATTTATACCATGCGCTTAACATAAATGCCAAGGGAGAGAAGCGAGAGAATACCTCCATGTACTGGACATTTGCAACTTTGCTGATTTTCTCAAGTTGAAGTCCACGTGCCAAGAAGACCTGGAATGATACACGTGTGTAAAGAAGTTAAATGTCGTTAAAGCAAAGAAAGAAAGAAAGAAAATACATTGATTGCACAATGTACCTCAGCAAAAAATGCCAGAACGCCAAGTAAAAGCATAAGAAGGAATGAATGAAGTCCTGGAAGCACAAACTCCTGCACCATGAAAGTAAAATTTATCTACAAACATCCAAAAAGGATAACAAACACATACCAAAACACATCTGGACTCCACAAAATCTAATAAATGATTACAAGTTGTTAGACATATCCCCAGCTGATTGACATTTGAACTATACAAGGTCTTATCCATATTCAATTATTTGAACTTGAATATTCTTGAGTGTATGCCAGAATTTTCGGGCCCAGAAGTACATGAAAGTTAGGTAATTATAATAATAACAGAGTGATCCATCATATACGAATTCAAACCACATGGATTTTGCAGAATATAATTTTAATACTAGTGATAAAGCACAGCTGAAATGAGTGATCTATCCTATAAGAATGAAAACCACATGAATTTCTAGGATATAATTTCAATACTAGTTGATAGAGCACAGCTGAATAGAAAAGAGAAAAATAAATAAATGTGACTGGAAAATCACATAGATCAAAAAGGAAAAGCTGAAAGAGAGTTAAAATGGTTTTGCGATGAAAAAGTATTATTAAGAAGACAGAAAAGATTACAATAAGTGAGAGAATAAGGCAGACCCTCATGAAAGAAAGTAAAAATGGTTTTGCGATGAAAAAGTATTATTAAGAAGACAGAAAAGATTACAATAAGTGAGAGAATAAGGCAGACCCTCATGAAAGAGGAACAAAAAGGAAAAGCCGAAAACCTGAAGAGAACACCTAAAGGCCTTAATTATGGATACTCAATTACGAGAAAATACGTCCAGAGTTTAATTCACATGCTAGTTTCCAGTATTATGTTAAAGATAACCTTTATATAGGCATCAATCATACATCGCAACAAGCATAATAGGATTTCATAATAAAAAACTAATGCTAGAATAGAAACTAAATAAATTTCCCACATAATATCAAGCTACACACTTCCCAAATAAGTTGAGATATTCTGAATCATCATTAAGTCATAATACATGACATTTTTAATAATATTTTTTAATACATAATCGCTACTGCTCTTAGAGTGAGCCTGTCATCACAACCCTAATGAAGAGCGAGTGGCTCAATAACCCTCCAAACAGAATCCCATTTAAGGAAGGTCTTGAGCTAGTCTTTAATTGTTGAACCTATAACCTCCTACTTGAAATATTGATCAAATACACTAGTATCAAAGAGTTTAATATGCTAAATATTGCATGGTGTAAGACCAGAGAACTTACCTCAAAGGCAAATATACATGCTGCTGCGGCAGGAGTAGCCACTGTGGCAAATGAAAAAACAGTAACCCTGAGAAGACCAAAGTTCATATTTTAATAAAGGAACTGAGAAAATTAATATTCCCATCACAAAGTAGGCAAAGATAATATCAAATACCATAGCAAGAAAAAAAAGCAAATTGCTTATAAAAAAACCTACAGGTTTAATTGCACATGCAAAAATATTTGACTTTCCAATTCAACCTAGGGTATGCTTTTTTAACCAACAAAGCAAGACATTAATCTTACACTGGTTGATCTGATGCCTTTGCTGCAGCCTTTATAAGACAGTAGCTGACCCCAGCAGTTATTGATGAAAACAAACCAACTAAGACTGCATATGTCTGGTCAAATTTTGCATTGCTTGCATCCCCATGCTTACTTGATCCCGCTGCCATAGTTCCGAGGAATGAAAGAGAAAACAATTCTGTATAAGTCAGTTATAGGAAACACATAACTATAGGAAGAGGTGGAAAACAAAACCATAATTGTGAAGAAAGTACAATGAAGATAGATCACAACTGCTGCACAAGAAACTACAATCCAGATAAAAGAAAGAAAAGCTAAAGAATGTACGTTATTAAAAGAAAAGCTAAAGAATGTACGTTCGGTTCTTTAATGCATGAAAGTTTCTCAAGCAAGCATAGATCTTCTTATTATGCAGGAAATCAAAAACATTAGCCTCCTGTGATGTATTAGCCTCAAACAATTCATTAAAATATACCATCAATAAAGCTTAAACACCTCCCCAGTAAAAATCTTTTCAGATTTTGGCTAGCAATTGCACCAAAAGAAAATGCATTGTGCTTCATCAATCCCCCACAATATGACAAGAAATTTAATAATGATCATCTCTCCACGAGCAAGAGGACCATGGAACTTTAATCAGAGTAAGAAACAGAAATAAATTCAGTTTTGAGAATAAATGGAATATGTAATAGTAATTAAATCACCTTGGTCACTAAAGGTAATCCAGCAAATAAATCAAACAAAGGCCATTTTTTAACCGTGAGAAAGAGGCCATGAAACTTTTTTTACTATAGTTCAGATTCTTTAGAAAAAAGCAAGTTCAGTTCAAGACAATAATGAAATATCTAATGAGAAAAGGATCCCATATGTGTCATTTATTTAGCTTAAAGAGATAACGAATTAGTTGCAAATGGAACAGGCCTTTATAGCAAGACTATTTTCAGTTCGAACCTTTCATTTTGAGAATGCTATTCATAAATCCATCTATTAGCTCTAACTGTCAAAATTGTGTGCAAATGCAATGAGTAAGTTCAACAATTGTGACAACATGGAACCTATTATACAAATGGGAAACATAAAACACTGAAAGTTTCTGCACAGAAAATTAAAGCAGTTCATCTATCTTGGTCTTTAGATGCCACCACAACTTTATCATCTTAATACTCTTTGATTACTTGCCACACATGGGAAATCACCTATTCATAATTGTTGAAGTTAACTGTTATTTGGAGGATCTACTCTAACATTAAAAATCTGTATCAACTGAAAATGCAAGGTCCAAATTGAGACATAATGCAGGGCACTTTCATATTAAAGAAGTAATAAATAAATAAATGAAAATAGAACAAGATTGAAATAACCAACAAAAACAAGACAGATTAAGTTTAGATTGTCTAAATAGATTAGAAATTATAATTCTTTTAGATATGAAACTATTGTACTACTTAGAGTCCATTATTATAGTTTTAATAACCTTAAGATTTCATTCCTTTTAGTATTAGCTTTCCTATTCTTATTGATATTAGTATTTCTTCATTTAATCCTATTTTGAAAAGGATAACTATCAATCACTATAAATGCAAGTACAGTCTCACTTTTGAGATAGAGTTCAGTTATGCAATAAAATACTTTGAGACTTTTCCTAATTTTCTGGTTGTAATGCAATCAAAAACTTTTTGATGCTTAAGATTTCTTCATTATGATATGCTAAAAATTCCAAGTCTGATGTTTAGATTTTTATATCTAAAGAATTATATCACACACTTCTTATTTTCTTTTATTTTATAGCTTATAACCCACTCAGCAGACTTATTTATTTATTTTAGAGGAGTTGCTGGATTTATAATTCTTAGAATTTCCTTAAAAAATTAAATTCTAACATATCCAAGGATTTCATTTTCTGCAGAGAATTTTATTAAACCCTCCTTTACCTTGTGTCATAATTATTGGCCGAAAAGAGAAGAGCACACCAAAAAAACTGCAGCAAGACCTGTAAAATCGAAAGGGAGCAGTCACAACCTACAAAGGTAGCTGAACTTCTACACCAGGAGCAAAGCTGGAAAAAGGAAAATGCATCCAGACCTCCCATATCAGAAATTTTCAACTTCTCATGCAAAATTATTCTTGCTGCACTGAGCCATAACCTGGAGTTGTGAAGCTCATACATAGCTTGAGATACAGTAACGCGCATGCTGAGAGAAATTGTGAAAGTGTAGCTTGATG